TATGCTTTAAAGTCAGTTCAAATTCACAGCAGCTCTGTACAGTGTTTCCAAGACTGGGTGGTGGGCTTGAGCTACCAATCTTAGGAGAGCAGTTCAGTGCCTCTCCTACAGTGCCACAGTAGGACTCACATGGACATTATAACACAAAAATACAAATTTATATTGTTGTTCAGTGCCATCAAGTTGGTTCCAATTTTATAGTAACTTTGCATAGGGTTTCTAAAGAGTGGCTGATGATCTTGAACCACCGACCTTACAGTTCAAACCAACCTTGCAGCACAGCGCTTTAACTTGAAGTGCCACACCAGACTCCATTAGAAAATAAAATACAAATTTATAGTACCAATGTATTACATTGTTGTTGTTGTTGTTGTTGTTGTTAGGTGTCATAAAGTCAATTCCAACTCATAGCAACCCTGAATAGGGTTTTCGAGAAGCAGCTGGTAGATTTGAACCACCAACTTGTGGTTAGCAAGCTAGTGCTTCCCCCATCATGCCACACCAGTACTTCTCCTTCTACATTACATTAAATGCAAACAATTCCAATGAACAAACTCATCATAAATTTTTAAATATATAGGGCACTACAAGAACAAGCAACTTGCTTGCCCAGGAGACATCAAGGTAAGTGGTCGGGTCCCCTCAGAGCAAACCTCCTTTCAAGACTAAGACTCAGTGGGAATACACGCTCTGATTGGTGACCACGTTTGTCACCGATAAGGGGAAGTAAGAGAAAAACGACAATCAAGCTGAGAACTAAGCCCTACAATGTTCAATAGACTCCTGTGAACCCGGATGGAGACCTGGTTGGCCAGCAGTGTGGCAAGACCTAGAGACTCTTGGGCCCAGAGTCAGTGACATAGCCACAGAGGACTAGAGTGGAGAGAGACACGTCCCCTGATAAGAAGAGAGGGCATATGCATAAGCACACCCACACTTGCAAATAATACCTGCTTGACCTGGCTTCAATGGCTGGATGATCAGAACTCGACTACAGGAAGAAAGAAGAGAGAAGAAAAAAAAAAAGAGTAATCTGCTACAATTTGATGAACTTGATCTATACTTATGAATGTAGTAGCTCAAAAGAGGGAACGAATCTTTAAAGCGCAGCTCATCCCCACCCCCTGGGTACACAGTGTTGACAGGGATTGGCAACTTAGACACTGGCTACTCAAAATGGAGGGCAGGGAGGGGTACAAAGGCAAGAAGTAAGTGGCTTACAAGATGTAAAGAGGGAACCCAGTTCCAGAGGGTGCGGAGAAGGTAGAATCTCCTGAGTGGTTTCTAACCTGTCTGGAAGGGCTGGTGAAAGGAGATTGGGATAAGATTCTCTTTTTTTTTTTTTTCGGGGGGTGGATAAGACTCTTGTGGTACAACAGTGAATAACTGCTGTCAGGACTGACTGTGAGAGTTGTAAATGTAAATAAAGGTAGATGTTTTGTAGCAAAAAGAGGGGAGTGGTTGGTTTTGCATTCCAGGCGTGGAGGACCCTGGGACCATTAAGGGAGAAAAGCAGAGTGCGGGACCCTACCCAGAGAAGCAGTGATGACAGAGATGGAGGCAGAGACGATGACATGGAGAGATGGAATGGCTGGGGACTCTGGACTCAGGGAGGGAGAGGGACTGTGTGTTGATTGCCGGGGGCAGGCTTGCGGGTGCACCCTTTGGTTGTTTGATGATACACAGAGGGGACTGTAATCGTTGCAACGAAATGAAATACAATGGGATGAACGTAAAGCTGATGTTCTCCCACGTAAATTATCACTCAATTCACAATAAAAACTTTAAAAAAAAAAAATTACACATTTAGGAGTCCTGTTGTAGTACTGCTGAATAAGCACTGGACTGCTAATCACAGACTGGTAGTTCAAACCCACCAGCCGCTCCTTGGAAATCCTATACAGAGTTGTTATGTGTTGGCACTAACTCGGTTGGCACTTAACAACAAACGTGCATCAAAAGATTTTGCTAAAAGACTAAAAAGACAGCCCACACACTGGGAAAAAATTTTTTGTAATGACAAATCAAACAAGGGACTACTCTAAAATTTATAGAAAACTGTAAGAAAAACACAAATAACACGATTTAAAAATGGTTAGAGGTCATGAACAGACACTTCACCAAGGAAGATATTCAGCCAGCCAATAAGCATAGGAAGAAATGTTCACTATAATTTGACATTGTTGTTGTTGTTGTTGTTAAGTGCCATCAAGTCAGTTCCGACCCATAGCAACTCTGTATGGGCTTTCCGAAGAGCAGCTGGTGAGCTTGAACCACCGACCTTGCAGTTCAAGTGGCTTTGCAGTCTGGCACATTAACCCACAGCGTCACACCAGGACTCTAATTTGACGTTGTTGTTGCTGTGAAGTGCCACAGAGTCGGTTCCAACCCATAGTGACTCTGTATAGGGTTTCCGAGGAGCCGCTGGTGAACTTGAACTGCAGACCTCGCAGTTCAAATGGCTTTGCAGTCTGACGCATTAACCCACAGCGCCACACAATCAAAACAACAATGAGATACCGGCACACACCAACTTTAACAGCAAAATTTAAAAAAAAAACACAAAACAACAAATGCTGGTAAAGGTGTGGAGAGACTAGAAATCTCCTACATTACTGATGGAACTATAAAATGGATCACCCACTGTGGAAAACGGTATGGTGCTTCCTCAAATTATTGGAAATAGAAATACCTATAAGCCAAGTAAACCCTCTACTTCATATATATCCACAAGAAATAACAACCAGGATACAAAAGTAGATAATATGCACACTGATGTTCATTACACCACTATTCAAAATAGTAAAAATGATAGCCTAAATGCCTATCAGTGGAAGAATGGATAAACAAACTTTGGTATTCCTAATGGAATACGATACAATGGTGAAGAATAACCATGAATCTTTGAAACAACTCATAACATGTATGAACCTGGAGGGCATTATGTTGAGTGAAATTAGTCAATTACAAAGGGCAAGTATTTTATGAGACCACTATTGTAAAAATGCAGGAAAAGGTTTTCATACTAAAAGAAACATTCTTTGATGATTATCAGGGTGGGAGGTTACCAGTGAGGTAGGAAGATGACTGTTATTACACATTGAGGGAATTGCAATCATAGAGATGAAACAAAATGTACAATTGTAAATCTGATGATCTTGCCTGTATACCTTCATTCAATTCAAAATAAAATAGACAAAGTAATAAAATCTAGTATCCTTGATAAGCAACACTAGATGCCGTAATTTTTCTGATCTTGCTAATCAAGGAAGAAAAAGCTTACTGAAGAGAAATAATACAATTTTATTTCTAAATCAAATGACAAGAGAAAAAAATCATCAAAATGTTCATTTTTCATCAGGACTGACTGTGAGGGTTGGAAATGTAAAGGTAGACGTGTTATAGCAAGGAGGGGAGTGATTACCTTTCCAGTCTAGGAGCGGAGGTCCCTAGGACCATCAATGGAGAACAGCAGAGAGCGGGACCCTACCCAGAGAAGCAGTGATGCTTGAGATGGAGGCAGAGATGATGATGTGGAGCGATGGAGCAGCTGGGGACTTTAGATCCAGAGAGGGAGGGGGACTGTGTGCTGAAGACCTGGGGGTGGCAGGCTTGCAGGGTATACCCTTTGGTTGGTTGATGATGCATGGAGGGGATTGTAACCATGGCAATGAAATGATATACGATGGAATGAATGTAAAACTAATGTTCTCCCATGTAAACTATCACATAATTCACAATAAAACATTTAAAAAAATGTTCATTTTTCTTTCTGATAAGAAACTTACTAATAAATGCCTTCAACACATTAATACATTAATAATCCTATTATAATATATTGTTTCCCTAAAAAATGGAGATAATCACAATTCTTTAAAATAAAGTTAAATCATCAGCTAAATCTCTGCTACTATTCAAAGTAGCAGAAAGCCTATTACATTATTATTGGCACTTCTTTACAACTAAAGAAAAAAACTAAAAAAAATCCCTCTGAAGGTTAATTCTGAGCTACTTCCCTTTCTTTCAAAGAAGGTGGCACTGGACAATTGGTAAGGCATCATCCAATCATTCACTGTGTCATAAAACTGCCAAGTTATTATTAACAACAATTATTCATTCCACTAATGATCTAAACACTGTACAGTTACAAAGGAATCTTATTACCATCTAATCCCTTTAGTTCAAAGAACATATTTAAATGACTTAACTGTATACCAAACAGAGCATTAGATATTGGTAAAAGCACAAAATTTCAACATCATTATACAATTGATAAGGAGTTCTGGTAGCACAGTGGTTACAATTCGGGCTGCTAACCTCAAAGTCAGAAGTTCAAAACTACCAGGATCCGTGGGGAAAAGATGAGGCTTTCTGCTCCTGTAAAGCTTTACAGCTTCGGAAAGCTGTAAATATGCAAGGTCCCTATGAGTCGAACAGACTCCATGGCACACCACCACAACCACCATAAAACTGATCATTCAATTTCCATTATATCGCAGATGTAAGAAGACGAAGGTTGAGGGGTTATGTCAAATGTTCAAAGCTGCACAGTTGATGTAAAGTTATTATTAAAATTCAGATTACCTGGTATTCTTAAACAATACTCTTAACATTTACTCCCCTGTAGACAACTTCTAGAGTATATTAATAGAATAACCGAAAGAAAAGACTTTCAAAATTATAAGGTTAAATAAAAGAGAAATACGCACCCTATTCACTGGAAATACACAGTATGCATTATTACTGCATGTAAAGCTCTGGGAAATCTTATAAACATGCACTTAGAACCACCTATTAGTTCAATCAATTTAGTGATTCAGAATCAGGATCTTTTACAGATGACATAGAAGAGAAAATACTAGGATGAATCACACACTAACGACAAACATTGTTTTTACTCACACAGTGTACTGAGACAAGTTGTAAAATGTATTTCTAACTGTGAGTCACCACCAGGAAAGTGAAACGTACTTTAACAAAGCAAGTCTTACCTCACTTACCATATTATAGAATTCCAGCTCTCTTGGACCCCTTGGAGGCGGCTGTAACTGTTTCAAAACTGTGCCATCTGGATGTTGCAGTATACCTACGGAATAAAAATCAGATAACTTAATGTACCCTGCGCTTCTTAGAAGACATTTGTTTCTGAAATCCCATATACATCATCTGCATAAATACATTCAACCAAAGCATTTCAGTGCTGGCTATATATGCAAAGCACTAGAGCACAAATTCTAAACAACTTGATTTTATTTTCTTCACATTCCTGCTTCTGAATCACTTAGATTTTCTAATAAATAGAATGCTGTAAATTTTAATTAAAATTTTCCCTAAGATATTAATTTTATAGTTAAATGAAAAGCAGACTAAAAACAGCAGTGCTTACTTACTGATCCAATTTTTACTTCTTGAAAATAAGCATTAACAGTGACCGCTAATAAATTGTCTACTTGGTAATTCTGTTTTTGGCATTCTTCTCACCTGTTACGGTGATAAAAGCAGTTAAATTTTTTTCCCTTATTCAGTGAAGTTACATATGGTTGCAAAAATAGCAACACAAGCATTTAGCTAAAGGAAAAAGTGAGGGGAGGGATTAAATCAGAAACCAATCCTCTGGAGCTCTTGCAAGTAACAGACAGGGGCACATTTTATACTCAAAAAGGAAGTCTTTTTCTAAAGTCATCATATGTGCACCAGTACTGACCCTGTCCCTATACCATAAAGAGTCATTCCCAAATTTACATAAGCTTAAAATTTCATGTATTTGGATTTCACAAAACAATGCTAGTTATCACAGAACAGTACTCAAAACATTGCGGTGCAATCCAAACTGCGGTCTTTGATCTTAATTAGTAAGTATTGTAAGTCCTCTTCACTTTCAGCAAGCAAGGTTATATCATCTGCATATCACAGGTTGCTAATGAGTTTCCCGCTAATCCTGATGCCATGTTCTTCTTCATATAATGCAGCTTCTCGGATTATTTGCTGAGCAGACAGATTGAGTTAAGTGTGGTGAATGATACACTCCTGGTGCATACCTTTCCTGATTTTAAACCATTCAATATCCAGGACTCCTTAGAAGGAAGACACATATTTATAAGATGGATAGTACTGGTTAGTAAGCAGCCCAAAAATATTAGAACTTATATGAGTAAAAATTACAGAAGATGATTTCTAAAGTTAGGGTATAGAAGAAGAACAATCTTCACTCCCATAACAGTATGTTCAATGGAGTTAGGGAAGACAGGAAAATGTGAGGAGCCTTGATAAACTGTTCCAGATTGGGAGAAAATGAGCATTCATAAATGTATAGATAACTTAGAAAACAAGTAATGCTGGCAAGGATCTGAGGACCATGAACTCATGGACTGCTTGTGGGAATGTACAAGTGGTACAACCACTAAGGAAAATAGTAAGGCACTTCCTTAAAAAACTAAGTGTAGAACTAATTTATGAATTCAGCAATCCCACTTGTAAGTATATACGCTAGAGATCTAAGTGAAGACATGCATACAGACGTATGCACACCTATGTGCCTTGCAGTATTATTCAAAATAACAAAAACAACCTAAGTACCCATCAGTTGTTGTTGTTGTCAGGTGCCATCGAGTCAGTACCGACCCATAGCGACCTTATGCACAGCAGAACGAAACACTGCCCGATCCTGGGCCAACCTCACTACTGTTGCCACGACTGAGTCCATCGATGCTGGCATTTGGCCAATCCATCTCAATGCAGGTCTTCCTCTCCTTCTCTGACTCTCCACCTTACCAAACATGATATCCTTCTCCAGTGCCTGGTCCCTCCTGACAATATGTCCAAAGTATAAGAGACGAAGTTTGGCCATCTTGGCGTCTAAGGATCACTCTGGCTGCACTTCTTCCAAAACAGATCTATTAGTTCTTTTGGCAGTCCATGGCACTTTTAGTATTCTCCTCCAACACCATAATTCAAAGGCATCAATTCTTCTACGATCTTCCTTATTCACTGTCCAGCTTTCGCATCCATATGAGGCTATTGAAAATTCCATGGCTTGGGTCAGGAGCACCTTAGACCACAAGCTGACATCTTTGCTTTTCAACACTTTAAAAAAAAGGTCTTGCGCAGTAGATTTGCCTAACACAATACGTCGTTTGATTTTTTGAATGCTGCTTCCGCGAGTGTTGATAGTTGATCCAAGAATAATGAAGTCCTTGACAACTTTAATCTTTTCTCCATTGATAAGAATGTTGTCTATTGGTCCAGTGGTGAGGATTTTTGTTTTCTTTACATTGAGATGTAATCCATACTGAAGGCTGTGCTCTTTGATCTTCATCAGTAAATGTTTTAAGTCCTCTTATAATGTGATACATGCATACATTATAATACTACATAACCATAAACAATAATGATGAATTCTCAAGACATATTATAATGTTGATAGATCTGGAGGGCATTAAATCAAGCAAAACCAGTCAATCACAAATAGTCAACTGTGGTATGATCTAACTTTTATAAGACAAGAACAAGGGTATATATAAACAGACCACTCTTCAACGCTGGTTATCAGAGGAAAGTGTGAGATGGGAAGTCAGGGGAGAAGTAGAAATCACTCTAGACAGCAGACACTCACTATTTTTGGTGATACGAAAGAGAGCACTCAATGTGGGAGAAATGTACATAGCCTGAGAAAGATAAATTTTATCACTAAGAAATACAGAAGAAGAAAAGATGTTCTTGGTAAAAGAGATAACAAACACAATTTTTCCAAAAAAAAAAATCTATGTATGCCTACATATGTATACTTCCATGCAATATGTATGTATATACATATGTGTACACATCTTGCTATTGCTAAGTGCCGTAGCAACTCATAGCAACCTGTACAGGGTTTCCAAGAAGTAGCTGGTGGGTTTGAACTACTAGCCTTGGGGTTAACAGACCAGTGCTTATCCTACAGCACCACATACTGCATAAATAGATGTCTATTTGTATTCGTATAAACACACAGCATCGAGTTAATTCTAACTAATAGCAACCCTGTATAGGGTTTCCAAGGCTGTAAGTCTTCACAGGAGCAGAAAGCTTCATCTTTCACCTGAAGAATAGCTGGTGGGGTTTAACTGCTGACCTTGCAGTTAGCAATCCAGTGCTTATCCTACAGTACACCACAAAGAGTACGTACTGTGTATAGATACAAAGATACTTCTTAGCCATAGCCAAATACCTTGTAGGATCGATTTTCTAGGTCTAAAGATTTAGGACCATAATTCTGTGGACAACTCAGTCAACTGGCATAAAGTGTATGTTCCACATTCTAGTTTAATGAACAGCATCTGGGGCCTTAAAAGCTTGCACAGGTTTTCATGCCATAAGAAATATTTTTTGATGCTTACCAAGGATGGGAGTGAAGGGAGAGTAATTCACTGGCTAGAGGGCAGACACATGTTAGCTCAAGTTACAGGAGAGCAATATATAAGAAGAAGGAGGCTGCCTGAAGCCTGAAGATAAGTGAAGACACAGGGAGGAAAGCAAGGGTTAAAGGGCTTAGAGGCAAACATACAACCCTGGAACAAGAGTGTTCTATCAGATTCATGGCCATTTACATAGGCTGAACAGGCAGTGTGGGAAGGAGAGTGAGAGTATACCCACAAATATATAATGATACGAGAGAGGGTATTTGTACACGGGTATTTACCTTTCCTGTAAACACATCTGTGAATGTGGTGGAACACTGTTGTTAAGTGCCATCAAGTCAGTTCGAACTCACAGCAACCCTATTCAAGGTTCCCAAGGAGTGACTAGTAGGTTTGAACTGCCAACCTTGCAGTTGAAACCAATCTTGTGGTCCAGTACATTATCCTGCAGCGCCACACCTGGTGGAGCATACAGGGCACAAAATAATGAAAGCTTCTTAGAGATTATCAAACATTTTAAATCAAAGAGTAACTGGTCCTGGGGGCTAATGACCATAGTCTCAGGGATACCAGGGTCAATTGGTATAACATAGTCTACCAAGAATGTGTTCCACATCCTACTTTGATGAGCAGTGACTGAGGTCTTAAACATTCATGTGTGGCCATATAAGGTGCAACTATTGGTCTCTCCATGTGCGGAAGGCTCGGAATTAACCAGTCCAGCACCTAACGGAACATGTGATGTCTTGGAGTCATCAATCTCCATGACTCTGAAACCAAAAGAACTAGATGGTGCCTGACTACAGCTACCAACTGCTCTGAAAGGGATCAGAAGGTCCAAGATAGAGTGGGAGAAAATCTATAATTTACATAAACAGATCAGGCTTACTGGTCAGAAAGAGACTGGGGGAACCTGAGCCTATGGCTCTCAACCAACCTTGAGGTCTGGAACAGAACTCAATCCCTCATGAGTTTTTCAGCCAAGTTGTTGTGGTTATGTGCCGTGGAGTCGGTTCCGACTCATAGCGACCCTGTACAGGGTTTCTGAGGCTGTAAATCTTTACGGGAGCAGAAAGCCTCATCTTTCTCCCACAGAACAGCTGGTAGTTTTGAACTGCTGACCCTGAGGTTCGCAGCCCGATTCGTAACCAGTATGCTATGCAAATACGTATATAAAAGGAATAACAACTCTAGTAAAGTGTGCTCACCACAGAATGGTCAACAAATCTGAGAAAGGATGGGAAGGAGGGTAGAAAGAGAAATAATAAACACAGGGAGAAAGTAAAATGACTGTTGTTATGTGGAGGAGATGACAATCATCAAGATGAAACAAAGTATATGATTTGTTGAATGAAAAACTGATGATGTTGTCTATAAACAATTACTCAATTCACAATAAAAACATTTTTTAAAAAAGGGACAAAAAGCTTCCAAACAGCCATCTAATCTAACTATTGGTCTCTACTCATCTGGAGCAAAAGAGAAAGAAAGAAACCAAAGCCTTAGAGAAGAAATTTAGTCTACAGGACTAACACTGCAGTATACACAGATGAAGGCCTCATCTACCCTGAGGCCACAAGAACTAGAATGTGCCTGGCTACCACTACTGACTCAACAGATGGATTCTGATGGAAAGGTAAAAAAAAAAAATGTGGAACAAAACCAAAATTCTTAAAAAGTCCACAATTCT